ATTATTTCATTTCGATATCTTCATGTTGTCCTTATAAGCAACATATTCAATGTTTTTCTGATTGGTGATGCAAAATGAACCGGCTTATGTCGAAAGAAGACACGAATGCATCTGAAGACGACAAAATCGAAGATTTGATTTGACAGGAATGATTTATTAGTTTAGTCAGCATGATCTGATATTACATGAAAGGTACAAACAATGTTATAAATAATTTTACGAATTTAGAAACTTAATTAATTGTGCAAGATCTCACAAAGCTGTTAGGCATACTACAATATTTACTTTCTGTCAACTAGGATCTCATTCTCTTAATCCAGAGGAGTGGAAATTCACTCGTTAAGAGTTATATTAGAGATCAGTCCATTTCTAATTGAATCCACTCGAAAGTTGTCGCTTGCAAAAGCTCTTTTTGAAAGTGGATCTCATTGTTTTAAACATGGATTTTCATTCCAAGATGAAGTGATCCCTCTAATGGCTCATCTAAGGGTTAATGTCCACTCCTGTACATTATAAGAGTGTCTCGATGAGTTTGGTTTACAGGTGAAGGGTAATGTATTCAGCCTGCAAGCACACACACAAAAATAAGTTACTTGTAGCGATGTTGAAATTTAAACAAAAATCTTTTTCAAGAAAAGCAGAATAAGTAAACAATGACAAATACAGTACATCCCAGAGGGTTTGGAAAATATAACATCATCTGACAGAGTGACATAAACATAATAAAACATTATAATAATAAATAATAATAATAGGCATTTCTATAGCGCCGTCTATCTAGAAATTCTATTCCGAGGCGCATTTATTATTACCCCGGCTTTAGCTTAGCTGCCATCACAGCGCTCTAGCATTTCAAGGAATTAATTCCTGCCAGGTACCCATTTACATCACCTGTGTTGAGTGTGGCAAATGTAGATCAATGTCTTGCCAAAGGACATTAGTGCCGCGGCGGGACTCGATCCGCGGACCTTGTGATCGACAGTCCGACGACGTAATGGGAGAAATGCAATTGTACCACGTCCAGTTACCTATATATCGACAACATGATAGCAGGGTTGCATGATTTTTACCACATTTACGTAACTAAGAAACAAATTTGTAATCTTAAATAAACATGATCGGTGAATTAAACCAAATTTATATTACAGATTTGCTTATTACTGAAAAAGGGTTGCCTCCCGTTACAAGGTTTTTACCGTCATCGACAGGACATAGCGTGTCCTTGTTTGTAGTGAGCTGACGGGACGTACATTCGTCGATGATCAATATTCAAATTGTTCCTTTTTTAGCCACCCGAAGTTAATCATGATATTTCGCAAACGGGTTTTCTGATTACTAATCCTATCAAAGAACAGACACCTTCTGAAGAGGGCCTGTAATTATGCAACACTGATAACAGTGTGGAGTTGGCAGTGAAAGGGAAAACTAGGGGCATCTGAAACTTGCCCCTCGACAAGAAACATAGAAAGATATATAATTATGTAGAGCCTGGTTTTTTTTTCCTTTTTAACCCTTTCAGCGAACTTTATTTCTCATTATCTGCAACGTTCACAATATCATTTATACATTTAAAATCAAAACATTATCTAAGCATATCAGTCAAAGCTCTTACCTGCTTTTCATTAACCTTTGCTTTTCTTTGCTTTGCTTTTAGAATTAAATGTGATATCAACTCATACTGAGCGAACCCAAACTACGTCACTTTGGGCACGACTAAGTTCTTACTCGACTCATGGCATAATCATAGTAGGTTTAGCTTAATTTCTTTAAAAAGGGAATGGATACATCGTTCGCGATCCAATCAGGGATTAATATTACTTCTACAGCATGACGCTTTCATCTTCAACATAATATTTTTAGATGCGATTCGGAATGGTTTGTAAGCAATAGAGAGAATGAAAGGATTCCAAATGCAATTACAGAACTCGAGAAACAAATTTATATTTTTAAACCATTCGACGCGATATAGTCCGCCAATGGTTGATATATAGATTAAGTAAGGCAACCATATGAACCAGTACGAGATGGTAATAACGCCAACAGTTTTGAGACCCTTTAGTCCACTTGCTGTAACGGCTCGATGATTTCCTGGAGGGTTGTTTACTTCGGGCTGTGCACGCTGTTGAAGAATAATGCGACGCATTTGTGCGATCTTTGTCGCCTGTTGTCTGGACTTGTAGAAAATGCCACTACTGGTTATCAAAATAACGGCAAACCCCAGCAGGATCGGTGCAACCAAAAGTAAGGTTAAAGCTGAATCAGATATGTTATTTTGCGGTGTAAGACCAGGACAGACCTCTTCTCTAATGAATGAAGTACTGCCTAGGATATTAATAAGGACAAGTAAGGCAACTGTACTCGACATGCCAACTAACAAAACGCAGTATAGTCTCTTCGGCGTCACCAACCTCTGATGGTGAAGGGGTCGCATGATCATTATGAAGCGATTGACGTTTATCAGGACGATTATTATTACCAAAACAAAGACTACAAACAGACTCGACAGAAATACCTGAAAACAGCCTGAGTCAATCTCTAGCGAAATACTGACAACAAGGGCCACTTTGCAGAGGACAATGATGATATCATTGATGGCAAGTGCTTTGTACAAAAGACTCTCTGTTTTGTGAAGGCTGTCCATCGTGTGCAATGTGTATATGATATTTCAATTTCATTGGCTCCGTTTGATGTTAATGTGACTATGATACATAGTGAAATAGTACGTGACCGTCATTTAGTGTTAGATTGCGTCACGAGCTAGACCATGAATGTTTTTATGTTTATAAGTGTGCAATGAACAAATATCATGAGGTTAATGTACAAAGCCTCTAAAAAATCATAAGATTCGTTCAATAAAGATGATTTATGACATTATTGACACACACCTAATGAAATTTGTATCTGTTTATATACATTTTTAACATCAACAAAATAAAATATTTATGGTTATACTTGGCATGGTTCGATATGATTTGGAATATAAAAATGACACTTTTTAATCAGTACATTTATCTCTTCAGTATTTATTTATTTTATTGATGCCCATCTGTACTTTTCTAAATAAAGACGGTTTTGTTAAATCGACTTTCTCTTACTATTAAAGAAACATGCATGTAGCCGTCATCATTCAACCATAATGCAGTCTAGGTTACAAATCAGCGAATAAATTTATCTCTGATTAAATGTAATTTCTTTATATTCCATTGAAGAAAAAAACAGAAATGGATTGCAAAATAGATCAATCCTGAGTGAAGTGGAGCCCCAAGATAAGCAAAGACTTGACGGGTTTTGAGCTCCAGTATGATAAGCACAAATGTGGTTCCTTTTGGCGCAAAACAGCAGAGATAGGAGAAAATGAGTGACAGAAAGAAACTGGAAACAAAGGGAAAGAGGGAAAGAATGAGAGAGAGAGAGAGAGAGAGAGAGAGAGACAGAGAGGGAAAGGGAGAGAGCCGGGGGATAAGGCAAGGGTCATCCACTTCTCACGGTACATGAATAAACCGAAATACAGGGTTTTCACAAAGGGGTCCACAAGACCATCGATAGTAGGGACTTTTAGATTAGGGACTTTTAGATTGAGTGGACGAGAACACGACGAACGCCGACTGATCATGCGTGTCAACGTACTTAACTGCCCATGTTGACTACAATTAGAAATCTGTTAGATTGCACTCGACGATGATGCATGCAGGAAGTAACACTATGAACATTACGGACAAAGAAAGAGGACAAAATATACAGTTCCTCATTCTACCCTCAACAAAAGAACATCCCTTCACTGCTAGTATGTAAAAATGTGTAGAACAGGTGAATATGCATGTGACACCTATTCTACACATTTTTACATAAAAGCAGGGAAGGGATGTTCCTTTGTCCCCCCGAGGAACTGTATATTTTATTCGCACACGGCATACTAGTACCTTGAGCATGTAAAGGCGCTATATAAATACCAATATGTATGTATATATGTACTAGATTTAGGAAAATCAAGGTTGACGCATTCTCGAGCGCCGACTGAGATGACGTAACGCATGCACAGTGCCTTAAAATGACGTCACACGTTGCAGTCAAGGCTGTCGACGTGCAAATCTAAAAGTCCCTAATGAGTGGACGAGAACGACGTGAATGTCCACTGGTCATGCGTGTATATGGCAAGCAGTTTTAGCATTTATTCCTATTTATTGATATCAAGAATTACCATTGCTTTACAACAGGAAATCATTTCTTGATATTAATAATTGAATTTTTGATATCAAGCATTAGGAATAAATGTTAAAACAGCTTGCCATGGACACGCATGATCAGTGGCCGTTCACGCCGTTCTCGTCCACTCAATTTAAAAGTCCCTATTGTTCCTGAGGGATGAAAAAGTGTTACTCACTTGATCGATTTATAATGTTTGAATCGTGTACCAAAATACAAATGGTAAAGCTGATGGTATCAATATAAAATCTGTCGATCGGGCGAATATTTTGATAGCAACCCCATCATATGGAAACGTTGTATCATCTGCTCAATCTGACTAGCGTGCATAGAACAAAATAGCATTTTTGCATGAAAAAGTGAAGTTTCAAAAAAGTGCGTTTCATTCAAGCGTTGGGGTGCCCGGGAGTCACTCGGGTAACCTTTCAAAAAGTATAATATAACAACATAATATGCACTTTCTCTGTCCTTTTTTTTCAGAAAAACATAGTAATCCAGCACAATGTCGTCTCTTTTTACATTGGAGATGAGCAAAATAGCGAGTTTCAATTGGCACTTCGGCCGCTCTCGCAAAGTCCTCACTCTATTGTGGGCAGGCGGCTTTGGGATGAGCGGCTGATGAATATACACTAGTCGTTAGCTTTTTTCTGATATTAAACTTGTTTTGATTGATTGTATATTTTTTGTCGGAATTTACTCATTCACATAATGGAACTACCGGTCGGATGAAGCCAGTGGCCCGTGACCACAGAACTATACGCAGAAGGGCTTAGTTGTCGTAGTTCCTAAATACTGCCAGTAACACAATAGAGAAACTTCCCGTGCTTGGTCATATTTATTTCGCCAATAACTTCGTACATACTTAGGCCTACAATTCTCTGTTACCAGTTTCAGTGAACTTTATATACCGGGCTCTCCTTTGAAATTAAAAGTCTACCTTGAAGACCAATTTGCGTTTTGTTTTTTACTAAATTAAACCCCATCGTCAATCATGATCAGACTGGATGATATTTTGGTGCAGATCGGCGAGTTCGGGCCTTATCAGAAGAGGGTTTTTGCGATTGTCTGTATGATTTATTTTACCGCTTCATGGCAGTCGATGGTCGCCGTTTTCATGGCGGCATCAGTGGACCACTGGTGTGCGGTGAGTCTTGATGTTGATTCTTAAGTTCACAGAATTTGGAGTGCTGATTGCAATTGATAAGTACTTCTTCTGTACTATGTGATTTGTCAACAAATGTGGGCATCCAGCCACTTGTATCCTGCCCATAATCTTGCACATATTTTGAATTTCCTAAATGTTTAAAAATTCAAGAATTCCTGGGGCTCTCCCACTGCACCGTATCCGTAGAGATAGAAGTGGTTCCCAATACAACCTTTTGTTGTATAAAATTGGAGATAGTGTGAGTTTTATCACGGACCCTACTACAAGTGAACACTGAACGGTACCAAAATACATTCATGCACCTTACTCTGTACAAAGTATCATAATGACATTCTGGGGTATATCCCAACTGCTTAACTAGCCTTCTATTGACTGGTATTGACAATCAATTGATACTTGAGGTTTTAGGAAACTGTACCATGTCATATATGGTTGTCAACATTGTTGCTAATACAAATCTTGTTTAGAAATGAAATAAAAACAGATAAAAGTTATATCTTGTTGAGGGAATCAATATTGTGTTTAGATATACATGTATCAATATTAAACACTTACAATACGAGGTACCGGTGTCATGAATACCAGTGTCCTAAAGACTTTTTGTTACACTGGCGTACTTTATCCATGCGGACTGCACACATGGTCCCGCTTCTTGTGTTTACAGTCTTTTCCTCCTAGAAATCCAAGGATTATCATAATTGTATGCAGGAAGAAGTCACAGATTTTGAATGATATCCTGGCAAAAAGTATACACCAAATCCGGTGCATGGAAATTCTCCTTTTTTCCAGCTTGTCAGGGGCACATCCCCCCTCAGACTCCCCCTGTCCGCACAAACGCGCCGCTAAATAATAATAATATCTTCTCAATAATTGGGCGCCCCCGACTGCTGGGTCTGCCCCTGCCGGGTACTACATGAAACACTAAGCCTACGCCTTAAATCAAAATGCAACCCTAACTCGCATGATGTTCGACCTTTCTTGTTAGACAAGGACCAAATCTTGACCAATTCTGGACTAAACCCCGGACCGAATCGAGTATCGAGCACTTCATCACACCCTAAGCCTAAGCCTAAATCCAATTGCAACCCTAACTCCCTTTCCGACCTTGCCAGCTAGACCCCGATGCCGGGGAACAAGCGAACACAAACTTGTGTAGTTTCATCATTTTTCCAACAGCAAGAATACAACAACAAAATTAATGTTGTCGAAGATTGTAAATCATGGATTAAATAACGGCAAATTTAGACATGCACAAATCAGCGCATTATCCTAAAATATTGAGTTTTTGTCAGGATCTAATTTTTTCTCTTACTAACTCTGGCACACAAATTATAGGAAGGGTGGAGTTGTAAGTTTGAAAAGTTGTTTGATGCACTATCCCCAATACAATCCTCATATAAAGTTTATAAGTTACACTGAAATTCTGCCGGTAATTTAATATTTTGTGATAAAAGTGAAACTGGTGCCTGGCCTCCTAAATTTCCCACAGTGGAAGCGTTGCTCGGAGCATGGAACTTCAAACCCAAGTGGAATGTTACACATCCCATTGTTACGCTTTAGAACTCACGAATGCGTTTGAATAAATTACAAGAGTTTCCACTCGTTTCTTACACCTCCTTGATTACAACAAGGTCATTGGTTACCTGCTTATTTTATACCATGAGACCGGTAGTTAAATGAATCAGTAATAATATAGAAAGAGAGAGAGAGAGAGAGAGAGAGAGAGAGGGATGCATATTAAAAGAGAAATATAGGATTGTGATGATGAAATAAAATTGGATCTTAACGTTACTGGTAACTTTGTTCTGAAACAAAATCCTGGATTAATTAGCTTATGTTGCAATGATTATTATAAACATTTTAGGTCAGTCGGGAACTCCATGACTTTTAGAAGCCGATCGCCTATCTGATTATCAAAATATTGATGATTGGAAATCGAAACCAATTTCGCGTTTGCCACACGGTTTTCATAACACTACAGTCTATTGGGGAAAACGAGTAAAGGTAAAACCGGTCACTCAAAGATTATTACTTTTATGAGGCACTTCTTGATCATTTTGAAGCGAGATATTTTAAGGGCTTCAATATTACACAATATCACAAACACTGGTAGCATGTAGGGACGTGCATCTCAGATTTAACATTGTTAAACGATGCCTTTAACTATCGTTCTATATATATATCCCCCATAATATTGTATTCATTGATTTAAAATTTGTCTCTTTTTTTGACAGGGGAGCACTTCCTGGCGCGTACGCAGCAATCAAGCAACGATTTCTGAATCGTTTGACAATCGTTCGCCTTTGCTGCTCTTCAATACATGACAAGCAGTATTAAATATTTTGTCAAGGACAAATGATAAATTCGTTTAACAGTTGATTCCCCTCTGTTGATTCTTTTGTTCGGATTATTTGGCGGGGAGAGATAGAAGTGACCGGTCTCACGCTTAAAGGGATAGTTGGGTTCTGTTTTCAGACAGCAAATGCCTTCAAAGTGCATGGTTATTGCTCTTATTCTGATCTATTTCTAGTTTCTAGTGCCCTTTAAGAACCTAAAATTGATGTGAAGGTAATTTAAGACCCCAACATGTGTGAAATTTAGCCAATACGATCATACCAATACAGCTCCACTAAAAAAAAAAAACGGTGACCGTTAATTAATTATTTAATTAAAAAATAACAAAACATGGGCCGGCTGGTTGTGCGTAATAAAACCTACACTAACATGCCAACAAAAAACCAACATCGGCATTGGCTGAAAGACGACGTAAAAGGCGCGATTTCATTTTTTCAACGTTTTTTCTTCTTCAAATTTTCCAATATTTGTGGTAATACACAAGTATTATAAATAGTTATATTTATGGATGTTTCAACCGTCTCTTAAAGGTATTACAAATGGGTGGATAGTGATTCTTTACAATTTTAATATATTTGGATGACCCTGTGGATGTACTAAAAACACCAGAAATTGTAGCCCCTAAAACACTCCTGCTTTCGAGAAAAATTGAATATAAAGATTTACCGGTGCTCCCGGTAAATTTTGATAAATTTCAAATAGCTCCTACGGCCGTACAATGGAAGCTGCGACCATGAAAATCTCAGAGTATGTAGTTGTGGTATATAATTTCCGAACAAGAATAGCTAATCAGTCAATTTTAGTCAATTAACATTATTTTATAGCTTAATTAATATCTTGACCTTGAGAGGGAGCTATTCAACATAAAGTGTTTATTATTTACAATTTCATAATTTTAGAGTCGATTTCGACCACGACGATTACTGAATATTGTAGGATCGTATATGCTTCCAATATGTTCATTTGAACCAAATTCATGACCCCTTACCAAAACTTTGTATTACCTTTAACTGATTTTGATCAAACAAATATGATTTTGTCATTTTAATTGTATGTTCTTTTAAATTTGACACTCATTTTTTCATTATCTCACACACACAAATATTTTGAGTAACGACCTCTGCAACAGAACTCAACTATCCCTTTAACGGCGTTGTATTTAATATTATTCTTATTTATTCATCGTCTCTACGATGCTCTTTGAATAAAAATAAGCTTATATTGTTAGGCTTCCTGGAAGAAATTCCAATTGCTGTTAATAAAATTTTGGTTGCACTCTGTAAATTATGATGATGTGTTTGATCTTGTTTTCAATAACAAAATCAAACACATGCTAAAATCTACTGGGTGCATGCCAATATTAGTTTTTTTTAACAATAAACACAAATGAGGTGCTATTCGATGTGGCGTACACATGGCAATCACATGGTAGATATTGATCATCAGTACCGGATCTAATAAATTAAAGAGAACTGAATTTGAATCCGGGCCATAGGCTACCCCCCCCCCCACTCTCTCTCTCTCTCTCTCTCTCTCTCTCTTGTCATTGCCCTTCCTTTCCCTCACCCTTTTACTTTTTGCCACGGAGTATGTACATGTAATTAAACAACACTAATCACATTAAAATATGTCGTTGGCTCCTGGCATCACATTATAAATTCCTCCGATAAAACTTTGTAAGACAAGCTTACGTTAAGAGCAAAATCATTGACATCAAATATTGCAAAAACACGAAATCCTTTCTAAACTGATTAGGATATGCCCCCATTGTAAAACTGACATAGAGAATGAAATGGTGCCAGGTAAAAATGTCAGAGAAAAAAATGTCAGAGGAAAAAATGTCAGAGGTAAAAATGTCAGAGGTAAAAATGTCAGAGGTAAAAATGTCAGAGGAAAAAATGTCAGAGGAAAAAATGTCAGAGGTAAAAATGTCAGAGGTAAAAATGCCAGAGGAAAAAATGTCAGAGGTAAAAATGTCAGAGGTAAAAATGTCAGAGGAAAAAATGTCAGAGGTAAAAATGTCAGAGGTACAAGCAAAACAAATGAGTGCCGTCATAATATCTCAGCACTTTTATCACTCAGAATGTCGAGACGTACAGCTACTGCATGGGCTAGTCTATTATATTCCTTTCTAAATGGATGTGTTGTATATCGTACATGTCCTGAGGATAATATAATGTGGAAAATAGATTTTGAAATTTATTTTTTTGTGGAAGCAATCAGAGAAGGTTAATCATTTAGCATAAACATGTAAGTATCGGTGTGTAGTGCAAGGTTTTGGAGTCATCAAAATGATAAAAAATTTGGCCCAGTCTTGGTAAAGTAACAAGCACTGTACACAGAAAGATATTGATATGGGACTACACAAACATATGGCATACAAATCGGGCAGGCATACAAAGATGTTACTTGTTATATCTGGGATATGAAGTCATTTGAAATAGATTTTCAGGGAACAACTTTTTTCTTTGATGTTCTATCACACTTGCATTGAACGCTCACAAATATTTTTGTTTACCTTTCCCCAGTACTCAACCTTCTCTTTAATTGATGTAACATGGGCGGCTTTCTGCTTTGTATCGGAGTAACAAAGCTGCTTATTGATTTTCTCCCAGACTATTTTATACCGCAATAGTAATCGACAATATTTTATTGCAACGCGCGCACTTCGGGAATGTGATGGTGCGGTTAGCATTGATAACATGGCTTTCTGCTTGTTTCAGAGTATCAAAATACCAAGCCCTCAAGAAAGTGGAATTGTCGGAAATATGCATTTATTGGAAATTACATATAATAGTAGACATTGCCACGCAGTTAAAATGTCCAACAATCTTCAAATATGAAGGAGAAGTAGGAAGGGGAAGGTTCATAGATATCTGATCCTATTTTGGGGGCTGTACTGACTTTTCTTTTTATTTAATGATTACACCATGGAGCGACAACTCAGCCTATAAAACATGGCCAAACTTCTCGATTTTAGAAATCTTTTTCCCCGAAGTTTGCTCAGTGTACCAGTACCATTTGCTTCTACAAAAACATAATATACCGGTATATAAATATTGAATAAGGCAGACTAATGGGACATGGATGGTGTACTCCGAGTTTCACGCCTTGCAAGCGGTCATCAGACAACTGATAGCATTCTTCAAAGTACATGATTCCTCTACAACCAGGGCTCAAATTAATTTTTTGTCTACGGGGGCTCTTCCCCCCCCCCCCCCCAAAAAAAGAGCCCCCGTGAGCCTTCTCACGGGGGCTCTTTTAGTACTGACGGGGGCTCTCTGTTATACAAATATCCATTGAATTGGTACCTATGATACTCCTCAATTATTTGCTATTTCATCATTATCATTTCAATCAGCATTTTCCCTCTTACAAATTTACAAGCTACATAGCTGTTACTGGCCTGTGTATATAATATATACGCATACAACACTGATCTTTATGATGTCTTTAACGTGACATATCTTCTTCTCCCCTTGCAAACGAGAAAGAAAACAAGGTCATTAAAAGGGATTAAGCGACAAATAATGATTGTGATTCAAATTGATGCGAATATTTGTTTGAATAAGCACTGCTATTCACCCGAATCTTCTTTGTAAAAACAACTTTTACAAATCTCAGCCATGCTTACTGAGTTGAGACGTTCCATTCAATGTAAAATACTCATTACAGAATACACTTCTCCTAATCTGAAAGTAATCTTACAACACAGTGGCAGATTTGCATGGCTTAGATTTGTAAAAGTCGTTTTTACAAAGAAGATTCTGGTGAAAAGCATTGTTTATTCAAAAAAATCCTTGCATCAATTTGAATCACAATGATTATTTGTCGCATGATCCTTTTATTAAATAACCTTGTTTTTTTTTTAATGATTACACCATGGAGCGACAACTCAGCCTATAAAACATGGTCAAACTTCTCGATTTTAGAAATCTTTTTCCCCAGAAGTTTGCTCAGTGTACCAGTACCATTTGCTTATACAAAAACATAATATACCGGTATATAAATATTGAATAAGGCAGACTAATGGGACATGGATGGTGTACTCCGACTTTCACGCATTGCCAGCGGTCATCAGACAACTGATAGCATTCTTCAAAGTACAAGATTCCTCTACAAAGACTACAACCTTGGTATACGCTCAAAATAAGACTTAACTAATACAATACAATAAGACAGCGGTGAAATAACGACTGCAGAATATCCCTCGCTGTTCTTTTTCGATAAGCCTGATATATAACCCGGGTGTAAACATAACAAACTTGTCACATGCTTTTGTTTTTATTTTATACCTCTAACATTTTTACCTCTGACATTTTAAACTCTGACATTTTTACCTCTGACATTTTTTTCCTCTGACATTTTTACCTCTGACATTTTTTCCTCTGACATTTTTACCTCTGACATTTTTACCTCTGACATTTTTACCTCTGACATTTTTTCCTCTGACATTTTTACCTCTGACATTTTTTCCTCTGACATTTTTACCTCTGACATTTTTACCTCTGACATTTTACCTCTGACATTTTTACCTCTGACATTTTAAACTCTGACATTTTTACCTCTGACATTTTTTCCTCTGACATTTTTACCTCTGACATTTTTTCCTCTGACATTTTTACCTCTGACATTTTTACCTCTGACATTTTTACCTCTGAAATTTTAAACTCTGACATTTTTACCTCTGACATTTTTACCTCTGACATTTTTACCTCTGACATTTTTACCTCTGACATTTTTTCCACTGACATTTTTACACCGAGCCAATGAAATACACTTCCTAACAAAATGTACATACTTAAAAGATCTCAGATTCAAAATTTACTCTAAACTTAACAATATAGTACATGACTTTCAAAATCTAAACGACGATGAGAAATTTAAACTAATGATGTCCAATGATGAAACCAACATGAATGCAATATAATATTTGGAATAAACAAATTGTACGACAAACGAAAAGAACTACTGAAAAATAATAAATCAACATAAAAATACACATTACATCCCCCCTTCTTCCGCCTTAATTTTGTCTATGTGTATGTATGTATAAATATATACAAAGTTCAAGTATTGTTTTTTGACCACCTAATCTTACATTTATTATTTACATTCTTGTTCATCTTTATACCTGTGCTATTAATATTTTTTGATTGTCTATTATGTGATAGAAATACGAGCATATACGAAATTAGTAGATAATTGATGGTTTGTCAGGTAAGACATGTAGTAGTATGTTAATTTTTGTCACTCCTGGTTATTGTTATCTTTACTCTTACACTCAATTATCTATGGTACACTATAACTGTGACATTTGTTATCCAATGTACACATTGAGAATGATGCTGTTTGGATTTAAATCAATAAAGTTTTAATTGAATTGTAATGTGCATTTGGAGGCGCGTATGCAGGGGGTGGGATGTTTTGGGGGTTAACCCCCCCTTAACTTGTTCTTTCTTTTTGCTCAAGGGGGGATGTGTGTGCTAAGTAGAAAAAAAAATAATGCTCCTTAACCCCCCCCCCCCCTCCTCACTGAGCGAAATATTGATCGACGCGATTTTCCCATTTCAGGGGGCAAACAATTTTTTTTAAATAATGCTCACCCCCCTCCCCTCCACACACACACACACACACTCAGCTAAATAGCTAAATATTGGTCGGCGCGATTTTCATTTTTTTTTGGGGGGGGGAGGGTGGGGCAAAAAAGGAAACAAACAAATTATTGCTCAATATCCCCCCCCCCCCCCCCCCCTGAGCATAATATATCGGTCGGCGCGATTTTCATTTTACAAACACTCTCCTTGTAAAAATCCTGCATACGCCACTGCTCGTTATACATGTATAAAATAAAAATACGTTTGTATAACATATACACACATATAGATAATGGAACATGAATAAATTAGGCTTAAAGCAAAAGAAAGGGGAAAAGAACGAAAACGAATGAAAGAAGCAGAAAATAATTGATAAGAAATTACGTTGGGTGTACCTGTGGTAGGGCATTGCAGTACTATCACACCTATAAACATGCTATATGCACGCTAGCTTACATCGTCTTGTATACCCCCTGAATCCTATCGTCGATATTGTTTATTGATTTGTTTATTTATATATTGGTTTGTTTGTTTGTTTCGACCTATTTTGTGGTTGAATCTTTTCCTCGAAATTACTAAATAAACCTCTCATTCGGTGCCAGGTGCCGCAATGGGACAATTTCAACTGCAGCGCGGCCGGTCTCAGCGAACAAACATGCATGCTCGCCATGAAGAACGCAAGCATCCCTGCCAACTACACGAACGACCACCAACTCGTCTATGAGCAATGCGTGAAATACAACGTTTCTGGGGAGGCTTTCAGTCCGGAAATCGACCCGGTCCACGACCCCGGCTTGCCGACATCACAAGTCATTGAATGCGACAGCGGATGGGTGTACGACAAAAGTCAATACAAATCGTCCATAATCACAGATGTAAGCTATTTCCCCAAGTATATATACCCAAACGCGCACACGTGGCATACTGAATATAAGAGAGGGGGTTGATTTTGATTTTTTTATGAAATTTATTTTCTTCTGCATCCATGTATTAGGTTTTTTCGATAATAATAATAATATTAAGTACAATAAATAATTTTCTGACAATGAATCATAAATAAGCAAATACATATATGTATAAATTGTTATTTAAAACAAAGAAATGGTAAACAGACAATACTAAATTTTCTCAAACGTTATTAAACATTTTAAAATTATTTACGGAAGAAGGACTGTCATTGTAAGAAGATTGGTTGATAATACGACAGCCCCAGACAAAACTAATGTAATAGATTAACACTTTTATTAAGCAGAAATGGATAAGTAATATAGAATACAAATTTGTATGATGGTGATATTGACAATGCAGATGAGGTTGACAAAAATATTGGATAAGACCATCGACCAGTCTGCGAACTTACGAACGGTCTACGAACACTGGTTTCGTACGGCCTTCTAAAGAAGATCTTGTGGAATGGTCTGAATATCGTTCGTACGGCGTTCGTAGCAGTTCGTAATGGTATTTGTGACCGAGGCATTAGTAAAAAGACGCCTCGTGTGCAATGGACATCAGTTCGTTGTGTTTTATGTACATAAAATTACTCATTAATTTACTCATTATACATATGATGTTACATTTGCTTCAGTTTGACCTGGTATGTGGAATGGAAGATCAGACTCAAATACCCCAGTCAGCTTACTACGGCGGTTACCTAGCTGGCTCAATAATCAACGGAACATTGGCAGATATGTAAGTAAGCAAAGCGGTTTAAAGACGGGGGAGGTCGTCCTTCATTGTTTATTCTGTTGTGGTTTGGTTTCGGGGTTTTCCTGGTGGAAGGCCGCCCCACAAAATACTTCATTGCTACTTTCTGACTGAAATTAGCCTACATGTACACAAGTTGTGATCATGATGATTTTTGCTTTATCTTATGTATGTTTGAAGGGTTGGACGATGGTGGATACTAATGGCAATGATGTTTGTCCGGCTTATCGCGGGGACAGCTATAGCATTCTCATCCAACTTCTGGGTCTTCACTTTCCTGCGGTTCTTTCAGGGATACGCTGCTATCTCTATCTACATCATTGCCTTCATTGTAGGTAAGAGATTAAGAACAATGTGGTACCCCATCTCACCCACTCCCCTTTCTCCCCTCTCCATCTCCACTCCTCTCTCTCTCTCTCTCTCTCTCTCTCTCTCTCTTTCTCTCTCCTTCTCTCCTTTTCTCCCCCGTTCCCTCCCTCCGCCTCTATTCCTCTCCCACTCTATCCCTATTTGACTTTCGCAGTCCTTTCATACAACTACCATTTTTGTAGAATTTACGCATTCATAACTTTGTGTTATACCTTCTTTATATCCTTTACTTGAGAAACAAATTATTAGTCATGTTTGATATGTATGTATATGCTTTCTGGACCTCGTGTCAGACCATTGATGTAGTGCCTGGAACAGCTGAATCTGGGTTTTTCAGCCGTTTCCTTCATACTTATGAATATACTTGTATTGTATGTTTGTTTTTAATCAAACTGAAAATAAATACCACTACTACTACTACTTCTTCCTCTCTACCATTTCTTTTCTGTCCTATTTATATGTGTATTACTCACTTTTCTATTCAGACTTATTCAATCAAATCTGTAGCCGACCTTTATAAAACAATTTACAATTAAAATATACAATACTAATGGTAAGGATCACTATGAAGCAGAACTATGCTTGTTATTGGAGCCCTGTAACAACCACAATAAAAGAAGAAGATAATGAACATAAATAATACAAAGTAAAAGACTTGCATAAAACAACCACAAACATAGTACACACCAACACACACGCACACATTTTAAAGAAGGTATGGTAGAAAGAATAGAAAGGAGCGAAAGAAAGAAATAAAAGTAGAAGAAACAAATCGAAAGAGAAGTACCTGTACTCAACCATGGATATTATTCGTTAATAAAATACCTATTTTGTACATCGATTTAAACCTGTTAATTGTAGAACTGGATCTTAGGTCATGATTCAATGAATTTCATTTGCGTACCCAAACAAACGATATAAATGTTATAAAATGAAATTGAACGAAAAAGTGGGTGATGTAAGTTTTGACTTTGACGAGAGGGGGTATTTGTAAATAGAAGAATTTGTTTGGAACATTTTGACAAGAAAGATGGTATAAAATTTTCATAAAATTTAAACCTAAATATGGATGTATTTAGTTTGATCAAATCAAATACAGGAATATCAGTAGTGGTAGACTTGGAGACAAATAATGACTATTCTTCAACCAACTTTCTCTCTCTGTCTCTCTCTCTCTCTGTCTCTCTCTCTCACACACACACACACACACACACACACACTCTTGTCCTTTTATCATTTTATTGTATTATTCTATTCTTTAACTACTTCTCGCCGTGACCTTCTCTCCCCTCAGACTTTAAACATGGTGAATGTTTATATTGTCTGCTGATGAGTAGATATCTGTTAGTTCAGGATATGGTGATGAGGGCTTGTTGATCTTGTGCCGAAAGTTATTGTATAGAAAGAATAAGATTATCGTTTTCAGAATTCATATTCAACACTCAAACAATTAAACATAAATAACCCAATACCGAGGTTTAAAAATACAAATTTTAGTTCATCAGGCAAGGCGATGAAGAGGTGGAAAAATGGTACATAGCTCCTAATATAGTATTTCCTTATTTTTCTTCCTCTATTCTCTAGGAATTGAGTTCGTCGGGCCATCGAAACGTAACATCACCGGTATTATCTTATCGATCCCTTATGCTCTCGGCTACATGTGCCTCGCGGGCATTGCCTACTTCGTACCATACTGGAGGACTTTAGAACTGATTTGCGTCTCCCCGGCACTTATCTACATTGGCTTGATGTTGTAAGAGAATTTACAGAATCATTACTCTTTTATATCTCTAAATCTGTAATGTGGTGTCTACTTCGGTTGTATGTAGACGATTGCATATCATGAGACTCATCAGCGTTTAAACATGGTGTGAAGAAAAGCATTAATCTCTTTTTTGTTTGTGCCGACGATTAGATTAAATATAAACACAGGAACTTAAACATTTCACTGTCATTAGCGGTTTGAAACACCTTTCATTCAATTTTTGTAAACTAGCTAAGAGCACAAGGTTTTAAGGGATTGGGTATCTTTGCCTCAGATTTTTAACAAAATCCTGGATTTAGATCATGCTACAATCATAATTATAAACGTTTAGGTCAGTCAGGAATCCCATGACTTTAACAAGACACCTGTCTGATTATCAAGATGTTTATGATTGGAAATCGAAATTTGCAAAAAACGTTTATCCTTTATGATAATTTTGAAGCGCAAAGGCATTCAAAAGAAAGATTCCATTCGAAAATTCAAATTCAAAATAGGAGAAACATATGTAGCATTTCGTTTATTCAGATCTGATCAGTCCAAGGTTTCTAATGATTCCTTTTTTTTTAATTCAAAGTGTATTTTTCAATTAAGTGTCATGATTATAGTATTTGTAATGTTCACATGCACTTGGACTCAACAGCATCCAGGTTAATTCGAATGAACATGTTATGAATTGACTGCCCATTCGCGAATTTGAATGTCCACCTTGAATGTCGGCAATTGCCGACGAATTTGAATAGATATTGGCACACGCAGTAGACGGAATTAATTTCAATGATGGCAGTGTTCAAATCCTATATTCGATACTCTAAATCGAATGATTGAACTTTTGAAGTGTACTCTTTACTGACAGTTTCCGACAAAAATGTTGTTTGGGTCAGATTGAATGAACGTTTTATCATATGGACTGAAAGAGCTGCGAAAAGTTTATTAGGACGGCTACCATGATAAGGCGCGCCAGAACTTGAAAAAGTTTTCCCAACTGGTACCCATTTTACTTCTCCTGGGTGGAGAGTGGGATTTGTTGATTAATGTCTTTCCAGAGGACAGAAATGCCGTGACAGGTTTTCAAACCTCGTACCTTGTGCTACTTAGTCAGGGAACTAAACTTCTGTACCTTCATCTCACAAATCTATTTGTTGGTTTGTGTTCTCCTGCCAGCTTTCTTCCTGAGTCGGTGCGCTGGCAAATATCGATGGGAAAGTATGACAAGGCGGAGAAGACTCTAGTGAAGATTGCCAACTCTAACAACAAGCCCCTTTCAAGTCCATTCTTCAGCAGTGATTTCAGGAAAGAACAAGTTAGTACGTAGAATACCGAAAGAGACCCCCCCCCCCCCCCCCCCCCACAAAGGCATATCCAGAAAACAATAAACAGGGTTAGGGATCCTTCTTAGATAGGAGGGCAAGGAAGGAGCAAGAGGGTGAGGGGAGAAGCAGGAGCAGGAGCAGGATGAGCAGGAGAAGGAGGAACATAAGTAGAGTAGAGTAGGAGGAGAAGATGAAAAGACTTTGAAGGCTCACCGTGCTGTAGACACGTTTTTCCTAGGGGTTTGTGTGTGTGCGTGTGCGTGCGTGTGCGTGTGTGTGGGTGAAATGAAAATTAAGACGACGTAAAATACTGTATTTTTTCATAACGGCTATTGTTATCATCATTATTGTGATCATTATTATTACTGTAATCAATATTAAGCACATTATAATTATTGTTAATATTATAAGTATTATTGTTATTTATATTTTTATTATTATTATTACTATACCTATTCGTATAGGAGGCCGCACCGAAGGAGAAACGAGCTACAGGAATAGATCTATTCCGCCTGCCTCGAATGAGACTAACTACCATCATTCTTATCTTTAACTGGTGTGTTCTATTAAATTTAAACTTCTAATAAGGAGTTAGCATAAGATTGAAAATATTTATATGGAATTGTTATTATAATTATAATTATGATTATTATTATATATTTTGTTTATTATTATTATATTATAATCATTATTACTATTGTAATTATTAATACACTTGTTATTATTTTAATACAGTTGCAATCTACGATTGCATTTAAAGCTGCATAAGAAATATAGGCCTTTATATGGTATGATATCAAATGTTTTTTCCCGCTACCTCGACTCGAAAATGAGGATATCCTGTCATATCGTTCTATATCAATTCTGTGTTTAGACATCACTAAAGCGACCGACGGGTCTTGTGTTAGGCACTGTGTCCAGAATATATCGCCATAAAGACTTCCCTCGCCCTTGAGATATGAGGGCAACCTGGCATGTTTTCTGATGGAGCAACCAATTGCGCTATCTGAGAGACCTGTAAACACATTAATTTGTAATTTAACCTATAAATCTGTTGGCAGTAATTTAGGATGCAATAAATATTGACACTGGCTACTTTGTGGCTTTAATCTTATTTTTCTTCCTTGATGTTTTATATTTCATCAGGATGGTGAATGCCATGGTGTACCACGGACTATCAATAAACACCTCCAACCTCGGTGTCAACGACTACGTCGCCTTCGCAGTGTCAGGAGCCGTCGAGATCCCCGCTTTCCTTCTCGCTGTGGTCGCCGTAGAGATCAAGTTTATTGGACGAAAGATTAGTCTCAGTGCGTGCATGTTGGTCGGCGGTGTCGCTTGCCTCTTTACAACTTTCATACGTAAGATAATGGAATTTTCATGGATGGAACTGTTGCTTGAGGTTCTGACACCCATTCTTCTCCTCTCCTCCTTACCCATCCCTACCCATTTCTTTCTCTCTCTCTCTCTCTCTCTCTCTCCCTCCCTACCTCTGTCTGTCTCTCTCTCTCTCTCTCTCTTTGCCTCTTTGCATCTCTATCTCTTTTTCCCCCTCCCTCTACCCTCAAGAATTCTAAATCGATCAAAGCAATAGTGAAAACTGTGACAGCTCATGTATTTAAAAAATAGGGACAACTTATTGTGCATGTATGCTATTGCAGTTGACAAACGAAAAATAGATAATTAAAAGTTAACGTGAACGCCCCTTTCCAATAAATATGCACTATTTGTACATTAAAACTGCAACGTTTTTCCATCCACCCATTTATCAGGACTTGAACAAAAGTCTGCCAATTCCCCTATCAGCGATCACTTTCAACAACGTATTTATTTATTTCTATTCATTTATGTCGTCTTCTTTCTTTCTCTTTATAATGTTCATAGCACCCGGAGCAGCACTCACATCAGTTGCAATGATTGGTAAATTTGGAATTTCGGCATCTTTCACCATCCTGTATTTGTACACCGCTGAGCTGTACCCAACCAAAATCAGGTAAAGCTTGTGTACATATACACGGTTTTCATAATAGTGTACTCAATTAATTTCGTTGACACGGTTAAGATATAAATAGCATCAGCTTTAGGATTTTAAAAATATTATACAATATTGAACTTTGAATTTAAAAAAGATGAATGAATAATTAAATAAATGAATAATTTAATGAAACAATGATAGATAATAGATAATAGATAATAATACATAAGTATACTAAGCAAAACCATTCCAGTCAAACTTTTATCCGAAATTATTTACGACTCAAAGAAATAATTAGGTAAAAGGGGTGCCTAGAACACCACGGATTTGCAACAAACAATAAAACAATAAAGCAGAGGCAGCGGATCGGCGACTTCCAAAGTGGGGGGGGGGGCACCAACAGAAAAGGAGCACTTTCTTAAGGAAAAATAGGGCACCTAAAAAGGGAATCTCAAAGCGAAAATATACAAATGTTTAGACATTGGTAAATACACCTCATAATTTGATTACATTATCAGGGATGGTTTTAATATTATTTTGTTTCTCTTTATACATCGTATAAAATATAGCTTAAGCATCATATCTTGCAGTTAGGGGTGATGGTCGAAAAAAAAAAATCATTTGCTAGCGAGCACAGCTAGCGAGGAAACAAATTAGGATTTCTTAGGTCGCAGTTCAAAAACTACATCTAATAAAGAGGAAAACCCTAATCCTCATCGGGTTATAAATAAGCACATTCTCATAACAGCAGACTGAAAACACCTTTGATAAGTAACATAATTATAACATCTATAGATGTGAGCGAGCATAGCGCTGCTCAGTGGCTGCCGGGCTCACGATCAATTGGGAAAAAAGAATTTCCGTTTCGGTTTAATAAAATTTGGAGTGGACTATTAGGCTATTATTATTATTATTATATTGCTCTTAGTCGCTTGAAATTAGGGGCACGTTTAATGATCAGAGGAAAAGGGGACACTTATCGAAGGGATAAGACACTTATAGAAATAAAAGGAGCACGTGTCAAAGTAAAAAGGGATAATTATCAGAGGTGAAAAGGGGCACTTATCGCATCTGAAAAGGGGCACTGACCATATATGAAAAGAAGCACTTATGAGAATGAAAAAGGGGCACGTGTCAAAATAAAAAGGACTGTTATTAGAGATGAAAAGAACATTTATCATTAGAAAAAGGGGCGATTGTCACAATAAAACGAGTATCTCTCAGAATTGAATAGGATCATTTACGAGACATGAAACAAAAGTGAAAAGGGGCACTTACTAGAGATTAAAAAGGGCACTTATGAGAATGGAAAATGGACACATATTACAAAGAAAACTGGGAACTTGTCATGGAAAAGAGGTTTGTGTCAAAATAAAAGGGGCACCGTCATATCAGAGGTGGAAAGGGAAGGACCACTTTTAAAAATTAATAGGAGCACTTTTTCAAAATTAAGGGCACTTATCAAAGTAAAGGGGCAATTTTTATATAAAAAGGGGCGCTTCTTACATAGTTAAAGGGGCACTTTTCCTATGTAAAAAGGAGCACTTTTGGGGAACTTGAAAAAGTGGGGGGCACTGTGCCCTCCCCCTGCCCCCTTCCCACTGAGTGCGCCGCCTTTGCAATAATGTGATACCATTAACCCTAATAAGGCCATGGATGACGCCCCGCCGCACACTGACTTTTGTCTTTCGAGTCTTGCGCATCTTTAAAAAAAAATAAATGAAAATCGGACCTACAGTTACAAGGTCACGTGACCTTTTGTCTTTGCATGTCAGCCCGAAAATCGCTAATTTTTGTGATTTGTGTACAAAACTTTAAATATGGAAATGTCATTTTTCCTAAAAATAGATAAAACATTGGTAATTGGGTCATGTGTAAAGTTTAGGTTGTTGTTTTTGGGGGTCAAAAAAGTTGAATTGTAGTTAAAAAAAAATGAAATTAAACAACAAACACAATACAATACATAAGTTAAAAAAAACAATGAAATACAGTCCAGATATCTTCTCAAAACAAAGATAACATAAGGAATAAGCTGGCTCTCCCAATTTTTTTTGTCGTATTATTATTTCAAATGGTCTAATGAATATATGTGGTGAAAAATAATGCTTAAATATGAATAATATATGATTTATGGGTAAAATTGTGATTTATGACCTTATTTGCATAAATTACCATAAATATGCAATTAAGTGAATTTTTCATAAAATTGAAATTATCATAGTGTTCTATACACTTCACTTGCCATGCGTGCAAACTTTGGCCGAGATCTTTAGGGGGGCCATAATGCCACCTCCCCCGGCCGTATTAAGACCTCAAATAGCCGGGCCTTTTTAGGGTTAAGACTCTTTAGTTACGGTAGAATGAAAAAAAAAACACTCTCAATTTTGTTATCGGACGTTTGAGCAATTGAAGGTTCCAAAGCGCAATTTTGACATTCAAAATGGTTTCAAGTCACTTTATCTTTTCTAATCATTTGGAAAATTCATGAATATTGGGCTACTTCAAAACTATGATGACATATTAAGTCTGTTCATGTTATATGAAATCATTTCCTTGTGAAACATAGGAGCGTGGCCATGGGAACCTGCTCGATGTTTGCACGTATCTCCGGCATCATGGCGCCCCTTATACTCACACTGGCCAATATTTGGAGTCCACTACCCCTCGTCATCTACGGGTCCGTCACAGTGATCGCTGGCCTCCTGACTCTCTTCCTCCCCGAAACGTTAGGCCAGAAGCTCCCCGAGACGATCGAAGAAGGCGAAAATTATGGAATGTATGTAACGTATTGGTCTAGCTAATCTGTCCACCCCTCTCTCTCTCTCTATCTCCCTCTCTCTCTCTCTTTCTCTCTCTTCTCTCCTGCCTGCATGTTGATGATGTTGTTGGTAATATTCTAAGGGCGTTCATTCAGTATTGAATATATAAGCCATACCTTCAGTTTTAAAAGAAAATCAGTTATTCATAAAGAAAGCTGAAAATAAACATTTGTAATGATATAATTAATTATCAGTATCGTAATTTATAAGGAGTCTCTGGATGGTTTGCAACTTCGTATTTCTGCTTGCTTCGTATCCTCCTCCTAGCCTCCTACCCTTCATCTCACTTCTCCCTCTCCCCCCCCCCCCTCTTTCTCTACTTCCTCCACCCCCTATCACAAACCCTTCCGCAACCCCCAACCCCTCTTCCTCCCTTCCCCCACTCGCTCCATCCCTTGTTATTGCTCATTTCAATGACAATGCAAATTATATTAATTCTCTTTCTAAAAAACTGTATCTGAAACAGATTATGAAATTATTTTGGTGTGTATTATTTCTAGACAATGATAGAAGTAGTTGATAAGTTCCGCATTTTATGATTCACTCCTATGAATCACTCAAGAAACTGAAAAAAGGGCACACTTAATTTACTTTATATGCTTGAACCGTGTTTGATATAACTTTTATCAAATAAGCTTTACTTCTGGAAGGTATTTCTCAAAGTCCCATGAAGAGGATTGGGAGTGCACATTTGCGTTCGTTAATCCTAGATCGTTGCTATTACTTTGCTTTTTGGAAGAAGTTGGATACTTGAAGTTTGTGTGTTTTCTCGTTTATGGTGCTCTAAAGATCGCTTGATTTACGTTCCAGTCCTCGATGGAGTGTAAAATTAAGGAATATTCAAAACTGTTGGTAGGGGTAGAGTATCATATATTATTATACTGAGGAACGTATAAAACCCTAAAACGCTAAACCACACCTAAAACCCACACTTCAACTCTTAACCCTCTACACCTTAGATGGCCCGGAGCAATTTATTGTTGCAGTAGCAAATGTTGAATCGCCCATATGACCATATTTGAAACGCTGTAATCTTGTTATCTTCACACAGGGAATCTGACGAGAAGAACACCCTTTCCGGTAAAAATGGCGTCTACATTCGCTGCCAGGACGATGAAGAGGTCACCATCATAGATTAAGTTAATCCTTCATTTAATTGTCAAGATGAGAATGACCTCGGCAAATGGGAGAGTGACGTGCGAGACGATCTACCGGAATAACCCTAGAAAAGTACTTTCGCCAAAAAGCGTTGTACAAAACGATAAATCGGAATGACGAAGTACTGTTAACACGATAACAAACACGTTCGAGAAATAAACGTAAGGGGAATGTCAATATCATATTGTGCATCCAACGTATATCATGTTTTGGGTGATGTGATACGTTATTGTCACGCTGGCTGCGATGTTTACACATTTTGAATAAATGACGGAGAAGCTTATCGAAATTGCACATAAACAATTGTATTAGATGTATTTTTCGAAAGTCTTTGCGATTGTCTGTGTCCAATGATACGTTTTACGTTGTTGTTAGTTAGGGTACAGTATCTTTGTTTGAATTTTCAGATTCAATTCCCTCACAATCTCTAACTAGAGTTGTTAACCTCTCGATGAAAATCAGTTTCTTTCCCCACAGTAGAATTATACTTATATACGAATTTTTAATTGGATAATTTCCATTGACTGAAACAAAACATGGAAGGCTGAAGCAATGCTAAACACAGCGATTAACAGTGTGGAAATACTCTTCAGATCATAGATTTCATGTCCTTTTCCCCGAAAAAAAATTGTGAATTAAAGTTTACTCTCATAGAATCCAAAAAAAGATGGCATAATTGCCACAGTACGAGAACCAATCGACCGACCACCTTGTTGACAAGGGGAAAACGTATTATCTATCTCTCTATCTCTCCCTCTCACTCCTCTGTCTCTCTCTCTCTCTCTCTCTCACTTTCTCTCTGTATCTCTCTCTCTCACTCTCTCTCTTTATCTCTCTCTCTCTCTATCTCTCTTTCTTTCTCTCTCTCTCTCTCTCTCTCTTGGTTATCAATAATCTCTTATCTATACTGGCGTGTTATGGCCCTTTATATCAATAGCAGTATTCTGTAAAGATTTTTTTAGACACTATAACATTTATTACGTATTTATCATAAACTCGTTAAAAGTATAACGTATCGTAATAATACAAAACGTGGGGAAGATGGAATGCACCCCACCCCAAACCGAATTACAAAGAAAAAAAAACATTTGGGAAATCACCACTATATATTCGGTCACTGTGTGCACTTTCTTGTTATTTTGTAGACAAAATTATTCGATGACAAACTTAAATGTTTTACTATAGATAAACACAATTTTGCTCGCTTGATTTATTCGCTGGCCAAATTTAAAAACTCGAGAGAGAGAGAGAGAGAGAGAGACCCTTACGAGATATGGCCTATGCGCTTTTGCCAGTGTTTTCCTTTTCCTAAAGTTTAGTTCAACATTGAGATAATGGTCATATATTTCATGTGAGTATATAAATGTGCTTGGGAGGGAAAAGGTGATGGCGTAAATAAAGTTTTACCTTTATTGATCTTGGTACATTTCAGCATTACGACTATTACATGGTAAGCCTATTAAAGGTAAAGACCAGTTATGGTCATGCGATTGCATTGTGAAAGAAACGTTGTGGAATCGATCCGAAAAGGTTGATCATCTAGCATCTAGCATCTGCAAGGTTCTGGAATCATCAAAATGATAAGAAATCTGGCCCATTTTCGTAAAGTTACAAGCACTATACACAGAAAGATGTATATGGAACTACCCTATATCTCTCACAGACCATGAGAGAAACAAATTTACCAAATATATGAATTAGTAGGTGGTTTCCCGGCAAATTTGTTATCATCATGTATTAGTCAAAACATATTCTTTCACATGATTGGTAATGAGAGCTTCCATTTCATTTTTTGAAATTGGGGCGTTTCCAATACTGGTCTTTACCTTTAAACACCATTTTGACCTTTGTATTTATAATTAACTTGTATAAAGCTGAGTGTATCAGTACATATTATTGGCATATATTTTTCTGTATTCTCTTGCAATGTACTTTTTTATACACCCATTTGTATAAAAACAAATGATTTAACCAGGCCTGTTTTTGTTTTTAAATTTTGGAAGGTAGAAATTATTATAAATTTACGCTTTTATATTCTGTTCATTACAAACGTTCTCGAAACGATTGTCCTAACGCAAAATTATCTCAATATCACTTAATGAAATTAGTGTATAAATAATGATGCAATGATGAAGGACAAAGGCAACAACATAATTGTACAGAGTGTGATTTTTTACAAGAGTTATATTGAATGCCTGTACTTAAAATAATTACGTTGTCGTTTAAGAAAGAGTATGAGTATAGAGGGAAAAGCGGATATTAGTGAACTAGTGAATGATTGAGGAGATGGGCGAAAGATAGAAAGATTATGAGACACAGAAAGAACACAAGAGCGAAGGAAGAAAAGAATGAATGAATGAACGAATCTATAACTTAATAAATGCATGAATGTATAAATGAATCGATAAATGAATAAAGGTAAGAAAGAACGTATGCCTGCAGGGGCAGTGATACCGAGGTTAGGAGTATGTTTCCCCCATGACAATCTTAAGGAGGATCTTTAGGTAATATTTTGGTGAAGTAGGTTATTATTGTTTTTAGAGCTTCATCGTTAGGTAATTATGGATATAAGAAGTTGACGTGTAGTAAGGTAGGATGTAAGGGTCATCTGAACATATTAATTTATGGACATCCACCCCCAGATAACCACCTCTAGTCAACTACCCCCTAGGACAAGTATCCCCTAGGGCAACCACCCTCTAGGACGACTACCCTGCGGGACAACTACCCCCGGATATCTACCTCCAGACAACTACCCCCTAGGAAAACTACCCCCTGACAACTACCCCCGGACAACTATCCCCTTGGACAACTACCCCCGGACAACTAACCCCAGGCAACTACCCCTACGACAACCATCCTCTAGGATAACTAACCCCCGAAAAACTATCCTAGGGGATAATTGTCCAGGGGTAGTTGTCCTAGGGGGTAGTTATCTGGGTGTTAGTTGTCCGGGGGTCATATGGAAAACTTTTAGCCCTAAACGCGCATAAAGGATTACAGCACTAAACAACCGCTTTCACGAAGAGAGAGCGCTCAAGTGCACTCTTGCGTGAAAGTACACTGATCGGACTAGTCCACTGCGACAAAGCGGGGGTGCGAGCGCTTGCTCTCGTTGACTACTTACTAACACTAACAAACTAGAATTAGAAATGAAACTCACCTAGTTAAATACATGCAAAATTACGGTAGACTACACCAGCAGTAGCCTATAATCTAGGCGGAGTGCCGAGCTTTTTTCTTTGCTGCTAGACTAACCCTAAGCAGAACGTCTGATACGGCGAGACTACGAACCGTGAGTCGCGAAGCGGCTCACCGACTATAATCACTGGTCTAGCTAATCAATATTCATATATATTCAAAATGGCGGATCTATGAATCATTCAACAGCCCTACCAAATAAGGTACACCTATGTTACGTTCGACCAATTAGATATAAGAAACCGCAACGAAAAATAGAAAATCACAGCACAAGGGGATTGCTTGGTATATTGCACTCTTTCCAAAACCAGTAGGTAATGCAACAAAAATATCCCTGCCGGCTTCAATAACGCTACGAATAGCGGATTCCTGCACTTCTCTGAATTTTCCATTAGGAATGCCTAGTTTGTTGGCCGCATATGATAAACTTTCTCGCAGAAGATCGTCGTCGCATGAACTACCCGCCATCTTGGATGAAGAAAATGACGTAATGTCACGTGATTTATAATATGCATATGCATAGACTCTTCTCCATACGTGTTTCTGATTGGTTGAGTTCATTTCGTATTCATGAGGTTTTTTCGTCCGAAAAACTGCCACGGATTCATGGTCGATAATAAAAAAAAACAACGACTAAAGCTAGACCAGTGATTATAGGCGGTGAGCCGCTTCGCGGTTCACGGTTCGTAGTCTCGCCGTATCAGACGTTCTGCTTAAGGTTAGTCTAGCAGCAAAGAAAAAAGCTCGGCAGTCCGCCTAGATTATAGGCTACACCAGCAGAGGCTTGCCATCACAGTGCAATGACCCATTCGGGTGCGCATGTATAGACATGATGCGGTCTCCGAGATTTTGAGCGCAACGCACACACTCTGTACGCACTGTACTGCGTTAAATACACACACTGACCTCAACAGCAATTGCACGGAAGCTATAACTGTGCATTGTTTTTACGGTACGGGTGCACTCGTTGTGAGTAGCTATAGCGCTACACTATCCCAGTCACCTTGGTTTACTATGAAAAGCTACTTTTTATTGGTTGGAAAATGGCAACCGTTTCCCCTCCACAAATGAAAACAATCGTTATACCAACGTAAAGGTGGGATGTCAAGGTTTCTGAATCCGTCCGAAGATTTTGTATACGTCACTCGTGTAAGATTTGCCGACTGGTTGACTGAGCGAAACCCGACAAAAAAGGGGGAAAACGGTGCAATCTCCATAGGCAGGCTGAAAAAGTCAAAACTTTTAGGGGAAAATGGCAACCGTTTCCCCTGAAAGAATAATCCCAAATTTAGTATTATTTTTAAGACGACATTTCAAATTATAAGAAACCGTCCGAAGATTTTTTTTTTAAATTTCCATTTTCCCGTAATACCAGCAATTATATCAAAACATGGCTTTTTGGTGTACGTTCCCCGTGCTTAACAGGATAAGCGACGAGGCGCAGAGCAGATGCGCGTAAGTTTTCCATATGGTTGTCCCGGGGGTAGTTGTCCCGGGGTGAAGTCGTCCTAGAGGGTGGTTGTCCTAGGTGGTAGTTTTCATAGGGGGCAGGGGTCCTGATACACTACTTTGCACACTCCAGAGCACTAAGTTAATCTGATCTTAGTATTCATACTTTTGTTTTTACTTGTAATGAGGTTTATGCACAGCTTCAAATCAAAACACGTTCAAGTGAGTGGGCATCCCTATCGAATCCCTTCAACCGCCGAGCCTTTAATTTCATCGCAACGTTAGCATGATTAGGTACCTGCCCCTGGGGCCACTCCCAATAAACAGAACACTAAAGAGTAACCTTTTTGGGAGTGTATTTTAAGTGATTTTAAAGTATAGTGCCTTTTGAACTAGATTTAAACGTTATCGACACGTGCTTTCATTTAAACAAAAAAGGTACTCCTGTTCACGTTTTCATCTAACCTAAAAACCACCAGTTTATCACGCGACTGGAGTAACGTGATTCCACTTACCTCTGTAAATCAAGTGTTTATGACCAAATAACCACTTGACCAAGCAACGAGTTTTTTTGTCCGTAACCGATGGTGGCGATAAATAGGTAATTATTTGGTCTTGTGAGCACCTTTATTGATTGGTTTCACAGGTTATCCAAGGTTGATGGTAATAATCACCTTACACCGGCTAATCGTCTTATTGTTCTGTCTGTGAATCTCTGGTTATATTAAATTAGTAATTCTGAGGTGTCTTACACACTTCTTTAAAAGGTTTCAAAGTTACCATAAATTTCTTGGTTATGATCACGTGGCTCAAGCTGATTACTAATCTAAGCTGTGAATACGTGATATGTAGGTGTGAAAATTAGTAATTATTAAGTGTTTTAAAACACCTTTTTAAATGGTAGTCAAAGTTGCCATAAGTTCCGCGGTGATGATCTCGTGACTCAAACGGATTATTAATCTAAGCTGGGCAAACGTGACGTTTAGGTGTGAAAAATTAGTAATTATTAGGTGTCTTAGATAAATGGTTTCATAGTTAACATAACTTCCTTGGTGATGATCACGTAGTTAAAACTGATTACTAATCTAAGCTGTGAATCCGTACTATTTAGGTGTGAAAAATTAGCCATTATTAGGTGTCTT